GGGGGAACCCCGTCTGGGCCACACCAGAGGTCTCCCCCAGGATCCAGCACTGCCAGGCTTTCCCAGGGGATGAACACGGAGCCCTGCCAGCAGCCTCGGTGGGAACTGTGGCCACGGCTGCAGGACAGCCCTCAGGAGGAACCACTGGCCCTCGACATGCAGCCAGTTCTTGGACATGTTTTTTTTTTAAGAGAAACATAAATACTACATCAGAGAGAACACAAACTGTCAGCAGTTGCTGGCTGAGGAATGATTTCATAAGCCTGAAATTGAATGCATGTCTTTGTGCAGAAAATAATCATTTTTATGTTCCCAACTAGTGAGCGCATCACAGACCTGGGGCTGGTCCAGGTATTGGAGTCAAGAGCTCCCCGTGTCCATTGCGGGACATTCGTTGCTGCCTGCCAATATCTCATCCGGGAACTGGCTCAGTCTGTCACTGGCGACACCTTGACTCCCAGTAATTTGTGATAATTTCTTAAATTGAGCAAAAGAAATCTCTAAAATGAGGGTGGGTCAATCAAACGTCAGGGTAAGAGGTCAACAGTTGAAGTCCCCCAAGCCCATTCCTGGTGTCCTGGGAACAATGCTGATGTCAAGCCTCCACCAGTGGCCTCCATTCTTGATTTAAAGGGAGACCACTCTGCCAATGACCACTCTGAACATTTTAAGAAAACAGCAACACACATTTTTGCTGTAGCACTTCACACTTTAGGACATGCCTGTAAAACTAGTTTTTGTGATAACATAATTTCAATTAGAAGCATGCAAACTCCAATCTGTCTTAATCAAGCAACACTGTAATGCTTCTATTCTAATTAAAAAATAATTTCTTTTATTACTCTTAACAACTCGATGTTTTTCTACTAGTGATGTTACAAATGCCTCTACATGGGTTTCCCAGGTAGGAGATTCCAGTACTATCTTAATTATTATTAAATAAGCAAGTGGTACACTATTAGACAAATATTAAAACGAGCATTGCACCCAGTTATTAATTTGCACTATTCGCTTTTAAATGCAGCAAATATCTCATTAATTTAATTTTCAGTGCCCACCCGTTTATATTGCATTTTACAGTCTAGAAGGCGATTCACTATTAACTGGCAATTACATACACAGTGATTGTTAATTCTGCTCCTAAGTGCTAGCTGCTTGAAAACTGTTCTCTCTCTCTAATTTTTGACCTTCTTACAACAGGGGTGAGGCGCACTGGGAATACTAAGGACTAGTATGGAAGCACTGGACATGTCATTTGTGACTCCTTCTTTTAATTCACCGTGCTAATCAACTCAACTGCCACAGCCTCCCAAGGTAATTGTGACTTGAGAGTGGTTGAGAGCAGCAGGCGAAGGGGCTGGACGGGTGGGGCTCGGCCCACCTCCCCTTCCTGGGCAGGAGAGGCCGACTGTGCCCACTCTGGGTTGACTAATAGGGTCTGGTTCTGAAAAACCTGGTATTTCTCAGGTCACTGTAAACAGATCATTTAGGCCTTTTGTAAAGTCCCTCCCAGCCCCTACAGGCTGGCGGGCAGCCCCTCCTCTGCACACAGGTTCATTATCCCCTGGCCCGGCTGCCCCGTGGCTGGCCCCACGCCAGGAAGGTTAAATGTGAGGGTATCCCGGCAGCCTCCAGGGCCTGGGACGCTGATGGGAACCAGACGCCCAGGGATGGCGCCCACGCCGTGACATCCAGTGGGGCAGGCTCAGCTTTCAGCAGGGAGTGGCTCCCGGTGATTACCTCGTTGTCCCCATCAATTTGGGGGCAATGCAAATCAGACAGAAGCTTCCAGGTCAGACAGGGTATGACCCCATCTCTCCTCTGCTCCCTGAGGTACTGCCTCCCCCCACATATCCCTTACACTGCGTTTGAAATGTATATTCCCACTAATGATTGGGGTGTGGGGGGGAGGCAATAAATTAGCTTCCAGCTAGGAAGGGCTGAGCTGCAGCGTGGCCTCCTTCAAAGTGCCCGTGCTCGGGAGGAAACCCCTGAGTCCTGGGCAGCAGGACCCTGGAGTGTGGCCCACCAAGCCCAGCCAGCCTCGGAGTGAACGCAACACCATTCGGAAATGGAGGGCAGGCCTCTGGGGAGGCCGTGGGCTGGACCCAACTCAGCTTCCCTTGGGGGAGGTGAGGGACACACAGACACCCGGGGAGGGCACCTCTGGCCAAAGAGGGCATCACCTCTGGCCAGAGGACAACAGGCGGTAGAGACAGCTGCACTTCCCCACCCACTGGTCCCAGAGAATCGGGACTTGGGACCACTGTCATGTGATGCCTGCCAACCAGTGACAGGCAGCACCTCCCTCCCTGCACACTTGCATTTGTTTACAAGTGTTCAGCCCAGGGCCTTTCTCTGCAGCACTGGGACAGGATCATCAGCAGACCACAGGCAACGCAGAGAAGGGAGCAGGACCTCTCTGCTGTCATATTTTCTCTTTTAAAAAGTTCTCCACCATGACAGTAGCCACACAGACCTCCCTGCCAAAGCACCTGCATCTGCCAGGATCTGAACTCAGGAAAGAACCCAGTGAGACCGTCCCCTGGTCTGATGTAAGAACAAGTAGCATCCTCCTGAGCAGAGCAAATCAGTCTTGCCACATGTAGACACGTGCTCACTGGGTCCCACTAGGCAAATGCAGGTTGTGGCTTGCTCGGGACACCTATCACCTGACATACACCTGCCACAGTGCAGGTGCCACTACATGGCTCAGGATCAATCAATCGATGTCTCTACCTCCAGGGCGCTCAGGATGCAGGCAGCTTCCCATGGACCTAGACATAAGTTCAATGTCACTAACGTCCTTCATGAGGCACTCTTCACCAAGGGCCTGCCATATAGAGACACTGTATAGATTTTACCCCTGGTTCTCACAAAAACTCCACGAGGGAGGGCAGAAAGATGGGACTCAGAGGAGTAGGGAGACAGGAAGCCAGGTCTCACATCACCCAGAGGCTCAGGGCTGTCACATGACAAGACCTGGCTGGTCTTTGCACAGCACCTGCTGTGGCTACAGCCTAGGCCAAGGCCACAGACTCAGGCACATGTGGGATCACACCAACAGTCCCCATGAATACGTGCACAGCTGTGGCTGCAGCTCACACAGGCCAGTGGTCCCATGGGAAAGGTGCCAGGGAGGCCCTATCAGGCCCGAGGCAGGATTCTGACCCCGGCCATTCCCAGAACCAGGACGCACAGTGGTTGTCCTTTATACCCAGCAAAAGCACCTATTTGTTGGAGTATGCAGAGGTTCAAGTTACAATGCGGTTCTGTTCCGATATGCCTGGAAGTTTTCATAAGTTGAAAATGCCCTACGTGTAAATTCTTCAAATACACCTAACCCACCACCATGCCTCACAATTAGCCTCACCTACCACAAATGTGCTCTGAGTATTTATATGAGCCTACTGTTGGGCTAAATCATCCAACACAAATTCTATTTGATAATCAAGTGCTGAATAGCTTGGGTAACTTACTGACCATCATGCTTGAGGAGGAAACGCAGACTGGAGACCTGGGGACACTGTGACGCACAGTGCAAAGTTGAAGACTCTTATGTTGAGCATTAAGATGCCTCAATTTTATAATATCTCATTTTGATATGTCTTTTTTAATACACTGGGGGGCTCAGAATCTGGAGAAGTCAATCTCTCTCATCTCTGGATCTTGCAGGGAGCCCCAGAGGTGGCCAAGGAATATGAAGCCTTGTCAGCTATGCCTGCTGCCCCATGTCATTCAGCAGTTCTGGGCCCTAGTCCCATGGGAGGATATGACCCCTAGCATGGGCAAGCCCCGTCTCCCACACTGACCACGTAGAGGTGCTGGACTGTGGGTACCTGGTGCCTCCAAGGACATAGCCCAGGAATGCCTGTGGGGTCCCTGTGGTCTGGGGAGGGGTAGCCTTACATGTTGTCTCCTGTGCTCCTTCAGTGTCTCCTGGAAAGGGAGGAGGCTGAGTAACTGCCATGACCCTCCCAGGCAGGGGCTTTAGCACCCTGTGTTACACCTTCCAGAGAGGGGACAGTGCACCAGAGGGAGACGAGGCCCCTCCAGGGCACCTTCAGATGGGGCAGAGCAGGTGTCAAGCCCAGAGCACCCTGCTGTCCCCTGCCACGGACCTTGCAGCCACCAGGACACAGGCGTGGTTACCTGCCACTGCACACACACTCCAAGGCCAGGAGTAGTCAACGAGTACTCGCCCATTCCCCCTTCACTGGGCTTTGGCGAGTACTGTCCAGCGCCAGAAGCCTCCCTCTAGTGTCACAGCCAGTGGAGCTGCCTGGGACTGGAACCCAGGATGCAGACACGCCTCCAGGAGAAGTTTACTCATGGCACTTCTCAAACAGATTGTGTCAATTGAACACTTACGTGGCAAAGCCTTGTGTAAGACAGCCTTGAACCAAACATGGGGACCACAAGGGCCGCCCTTACTGCTGCCCTGAGCTTGTCCAGCACCTTCGAAGAATACAGGACCCCTTCAAGCAGAACCCTGTAGGGTCTAGGACCCCAGATCAGAGCAGGGACCTGACTCACACAGAGGCTCCTGTTTGCTGGGTGTGTGACAGGCGTCTGAGTCCAAATTTGGGCAGCTAAACAGTGGCAACATCACAGGGCAAAGCTGGGGAGATGAGGCGGGCAGAGGACCCAGCATGCAGGTGGGCACGCAGGCCACTGTTTTGATGGAGGTACGGGGCTACTGCTGTTACTGACAGCAGTCCCTCCACCACTTCATCTTATGGGGTGTGTGGGAGGCTATGGCCCACAGAGGGGATTGGTACCAAGGTCACGTGACTGCAAGTGCTATACACGGCATACTGAGCCATCTTGGATGAAGACACGGGCACCGCACATTTAACACAACCAGCATGGGCCCACAGGGCTCACAGGTCCTCCTAGGCCCTGCACCTGCCCCCAAGACCCCAAGATGCCCTCCCAAGAGTCTCCTTCTGGAGAGCAGCACCCACACTGTTCCACAGGGGCTGGAGCCATGAACTCAC